TGGTCCACAAGATGGGACCCTTATTACTTCATTAGCAATTTACCATTTAACTCAACATTATTATACACCATTTTACTCGATATCATGAATTTAAAAATTTGAAGGTTTTTTAAGATTTTGTATCTTTAAATTTTAAGTTTTAGAAAAAACTCCATATTGCATGTTACTCTACTAGTTTAGTTAATATTCAAGTTATTCACCTGAAGATAACTGAATATGGTCAAAACATGTGTTTCATCAACTTACCAATAAAATGAGCACTTTATTAAATTACTATACAAGTAAAGAAATAAGCAGCACTGATAATATGGTGGTTTTTCAGTTGCAATTTAACAGATCTAAAATTAGTCATACATCATCTTCTTAGCCTCTGGAGCATATAAAATTAACAAGTAGTGAACAATTCTGGTGTGCTTATCAATATTTGGCATTTATAGAGTGGGGGCATTTCTCATGCAGGAACACATGTATGTTTCAATGTAAAGTGCTTGTTGTTATCTGTCTTAACAAAGACTGCAATTGTGGGAAAATTTTAGTAAAACTTTTCAATATCAAATGTCATGAATATCTACCCAGCCATTTTAAAGTACTTTAAACATGTGTACAAACAGACAGATAGCCAAAGCAAGTTTATCACACTTAACAAGAATGTAAATGCACCTAAAAAGTAATATCAAATTTTTATCAAACAATTACAAATAATTATGATGAGTGCATGCAGGCAGTCTTAAATTTGTCCACAGAGTGGTAATTTTATTAAGAAAGTTTGAAATCAAACATAATAATAATATTCTTGAACCTAAGTATCCTTGCATCAGCAGTGAGGCCAGCAATTGCAATGCCAATATGTGTGTCAATGGGAATAATTTTCTTCTGATGGGCTGACAACTCTGAAGAGGCACGTTTCAGTGCTATCAATACTGCGTGAGTATTGCTCTTTAGTCCCACAGTTGCAGAACCCAATTTCACAGCCTCCATTGCATACTCCACTTGATGAAGCCGACCTTGTGGGCTCCACACAGTCACATCACTATCGTATTGGTTACGAAACTAAAAAATAAATATGAGCCAAGTTTAAGAAACTTATAATTCTAAATTATGTGATTCACTGCGATATGTCAATTGCATATGTAATAGTAAAGATCTTACTAGGACTTATAAACGAACCAATGCTCAAATCGTCTTAGTCATGTCAAACAATTAGGTTATGTTAAACACTCCACCGATACAAAAACAAATAATATGTATTAAGGCAATATCATTAATTAATAAGGATTAACTTCACTGCTACTACGAAATTTCATAACAAAACAAACTCCGCAGTCCTATATACCTTTAAAAACTATCATATAAACACCCTTACTCACCATTTTTACCGAATTCAATTTATAACTCCAAACACTACCAACCAACCAGACCAGAAAGCAAAGAGAAAGTTATCCACAGATACATGTTACTACTAATACCTGTGACACATAACGTAGTTAGTAATCCAATATAACTTATTCCAATCAAACTTAAACGAATCCAAAATAACCGACCCGCATAGGATTAAACCCACCACCGCTTAAAGACTGCCAGATAACCTTCCAGGACTTCGCCACCACTTCTCCAGGATTTCTCCAGCACTTCCCCATGACCAAAGAATATTCACAAAAGCCAGGATTTTTCCAGAAATTACACAGGCCTTCTCCAGGACATCCCCACGACCACCCTATGAACAAGGTAGAAATTCTCCAGGACAATATAAACCATCAGAAAACAAAAAACCTTATCGATCATAAACTAAACAACCTAACATTACCTTAGCTAACCTAGTTACACCTAAGATAACCTAACTTAACCTAACCTAGCCTAACCTAACATAACCTTAACCTAACCGAACCTAAGCCAATACAACGCAACCTAATACAATATAACACATACCAATCAAACATAAACGAATCCAAAATAACCGGCCAGCATAGTATAAATCCTACCGCCGCTTTAGGACTTCCGCATAACCTCCAGCACTTCTCCATGACCAATAAAATTCCGCATAAACTATCCAGGACTTGTCCTACTCCACTCTACGACTTATCCAGAATTTCTTCAGGATTTCTCCAGCACTTCTACATGTCCAATGAAATTCCGCATAAACTATCCAGGACTTCTCCGACACCACTCTAGGACTCATCCAAAATTTCTCCAGGACTTCACCAGCACTTCTCCAGGACATCCCCACGACCGCCCGATGAACATGTTAGAAATTCTCCAGGACCCAACCTAACACAACGTTATCTAACCTAACCTACACAACCAAACCTTACCTTACTTAACCTAACTAAACCTAACCTAGCCTAACAGTGGCGGGTCTTGAATCTGAGCAGGGGTAGTTTTTCAACACACAACGATATAAATAAATGAAAAGTAAATTACATCAGGAGAAAACCCATACGTGTTCGACGATGTTTTAACTATTTATAAGTCCGTAAGAGGGCGGCTATGATTATTTACATAAGCTTTTTCACCCAAAGACAATTTAGAAAAAGTAATTTGCCGTAACTATGACACACTTCCTTTGCTCATTATCATTATCAGAACAAAAAATATAATATATGACTAAAAATTCACAGTGCAGATAAGCAAACACTTCAAAATCAGAGAATGTACATCTTACGAAATATTACGCAGGTGACCGGACCTGAATGGATTACTTTGCATGCCCTAAATTCTGCATCAAATGAAGAACTAATGGGTAGTGGAAGATACAGAGAAAAAAAAAAGATGATGTTAAAAAGATCTTTAGTAGGGTATAAGAGTGTAGACTGTTGTCATGTGGTCCAGGATAGGGTCCAGTGGAGTTTCCTTGTAAATGCATTAATGAACCAACGGTTTCCATTAAGGGCTAGTAACTTGACTAAGAAACAACTGGCTCCTTAAATAGGATTCTGCTTAATTAATGTTTTAGTGTTAAATACGTTTTATATTCTATGGGAAAAGAGTCGATTTCGAGACAGGATTAAAATTGTCGCTCTAACCATTGGAAACGACGCGGTGTTTTTGGAAAGGGTATAACTTTGACACATAATGTCCAAAACAGAAAAGAAAAATATTTCCACGCACTTTGTAGCGACCAAATCGTGGCTCTGCGGTGCGCATGCCACGGGACGAAGTTGCCGCAACTTGCCAAGATTCGAGGCCTTCACGCCACTCGGAAGGGACAGGGAGGATGCTATAGAAATAGTCAGCTGTGAGCAGGTGATGAGGTCGTCGCTGCTCGTAGGATTTAGTCGGATGTGTGAAATACTACAAGTGTGTTTCCAATCACCACACCGCCATCGCCATTAAGACGCATTCTGTTCTGTTTCTGCTGCACTGAACTGCAAGGAGAAAGTCTGTAGGGAGTTCTCAAGGTATTGTTAAAATAATACAGGAAGTGTGTAACAACGTTTTTGGAGTGAATATTGTTCTGTTTTATTATGGTGAAGACAAAAATACATCTACTTCCTTGAAACAGGGCAAAAATAGTAACTCTGATCATATATTCTCTCATATCCTGTGACTATTACAACGAAACTGCAATCGTTATTAAACACATTGGCATTAAATAGTAGGCATATATGTAGTAAGTCGAAACACAGAGTTCCATGAAATAATAGCGGGTCACAAACCCCTACTTTGTGATATTCTAGACGTCTTGATGCGTATTATATCTAGATCTACAACAATGTCTAGCCTACTCAGCCTCCTAGCCAACGCTTTCGTATGATGGTGCTTAGGAATAGGACTGTTTACTGCTATGATGTTGTGGAAAGGATTTTGAGAAGCCTCGTCAGAGAACTAGATAAAGTTATGTACAATTTAGTTCCGAAGCATTAATCAGTGGGAAAAGCGTGGATATGAAAGAATTATTATTCTCATGTATGTTGGCAGTGCTGATAACCATTATTTATCCAGAAGCGAATACGTAAGGTTCAAATATATCATAAATTAATATTTAGGGACCTATAATTTATTGCATGCGGCGAATAAAGCATGTCTATATAAAATACAAAGTTCCTTCATAGATGCTGAATGCCAATATGGGAAGAAAATTTAATAATCACAGAAATTCTGTAATAAGAGGAGCCATCTGATTAGAAGTCTTCTGCCACAATGTTTTGCGTAATGTCTTCTTGTAGCTACATAATTAGATTCTTAAGTGCAATGTTTGCAGAAACCGTAGGAAATCTTCAACAACAGATGCGACGTATAACCTAAAGCCTAAGTCACACACAGTAAAACCATGTTTAAATTTAAAGAACAAATAAGTCTGAAATTTTTATGCCAACGGTTTAACAGAATACCGCGATATGACGTTGCAGTCTACTTTATATTTAACGCGACGGCATAATCGTATACTTATATGATCACACACACACATACCTGAAAACACATGCACATATTCATACACGTATGGATACATACATAGGCCTATATTTATACAAACAGGCATTCATGTGTACACATGATTCATGCTCACGTATTCGTCTATTATAGCATACCCGTCGGTTTGTGTGAGAGAGAAAGAGGGGACGATATGTAGTAGGTTCTGAAGTAAAAACATGGAAGAGAGAAGGCATGACCGTATTTACCTAAATTCCCCATATCACCAAAACCAAGTTTACGACTATAAATGAAACCAATTAGAAGAATATTATCAAAATGAGTACGGTGACGTTTCTGAAACACGCGTAGGTACTCTTGTGACAGTTGTCTTTCTTATTTGAAAATTCTAAAACATGGTGGTCGAGCGAGTGATATATTAATTCCTATACTTCATAGAATCTGGTTAAGACGTGAAAATAGCCTATCTTTAAGGCGAAAAATCATAAAGAAATTTGAAGAATATGTATATTAATGAAGAGTAATCTAATCCTTATATGTGATAACCCTTTTAAAATTCATGTCGGAAATATTTAATCCAGCTTTAGGGCAAATAAACCTGATGGAATCTTGCTATTCTGATTACTGTTTGATAACAAATAAACTCATATAAGTGTATCACACTTGATTTTAGGTGGGTTTAGAAAATCAAAAGAGCTTCACGTATCAGTGACCAAACTACCTGATAATTTTCGATCTGATTCAATATGGTCGGCATATACACCTACTGAATTTTGTCAAGCTATTAATTCTGCTTTATTTTGGATCAATTTAAGAGTAACTTTATTTAGGGGCCTGACATAATCGAATCTTTATAGGTATCATTTGAGTATCTTGATAGAATTTTAAATAGGATTCTTATGAGTATACCATGTGTATCATTCATTGTCAGGACTTTTCTTTAAACCCACGACGTTTCGGAGGCTGGTTCTGTCTCCGTCTTCAGGTCAGAGGTACCTACTCTGTTGGGTCCCTTAGATAGAGCTAAAGAATAGACGATGGAAGAAGTCCTGACAATGAATAATTTTAAGTGTAATCTACCGTCGTCAAAACCCTTTAGAATTAGTGCCTTCTTTATTGAAATCTTAACGTATCCTTTGTTGACATTCGCCTAATATAACTCAAGCCATACGTGAAGGTAAAATTTAACTTCCCCAACTTTATCGTTATTTAAACGTAGGTATCATTAATATCTACAACTTATGGTTAAACCATTTTCCAGTATGGTGTATATGTGATGGAAAATCGATGCAACAATTACCTATCTGTTAGCAATAAACTTGCCTCCCCTCTTTAGCAATTTATAGAACTTGGCTCTGCCACAAGCACACGACAGTCAAACAGGAGTAAGGCATTTTATATTTATACCTATTTAATTTCCAAATTACATAACCGTCTCTCCCTTAAAAAATATCTAATCATGATGTCCTGGCACTGAAACGTTTAGTGAAATCCAAGAAGAAAGCCAAGCTTCATCTTTAATTGGCTTTATCGACAATAGTTACGTTATAAGATTTGAGGTCAAATTTCGCATTGCGTTTCAGTGAAAACGTTTATGCACATTCTTTGCATTTCCATTATTTATATAATTACCCAGGTCCTAAGAATAAAAAGGATGTTATTTTGTTTTCGTTGATTGAGTACCGAAACGCAATTTATGCTAAAAGAACAAAAAGACTTAAAATTAATTAATAATAATGAATTATTTAATAAGTAATTGCAAGTTTTTCCTGAATTTTGTCTCTCAGAATTAACTTTCAACGCTTTTTCTGTCAGCCTGATTAAATGGTTAGAGACGCAATAAGCCGTGCGGAATTTGAAGACACAGTGACGCCTGTTTCTGAGAAATGTGCTATGATTAACTTATGTGAGCGGACCTGATGAAAATCCGAGGGTAGCCAGCTTCTGGATTAAATCCAGGAGACTCCACAGTGTGAATGAGATGTACTACACGCTCATCTAACCTGCCCTCTACGTCATTCTGTCTGATTACTTTATCTAGTCAAGAATGCGATCACTTCTATCATGAAGTTTTAACTTTGTCTTATTTATAGGCGGACTGTAACAAAATGGCATGTACTGTGACTCGCTGGGCTAAAATGTGTGTAGGAAGAATAAAAGTACAAAGAAAATTAAACATAATAGATAAATGAAAGGAATAGCATTAGCGTGGAATGACTGGCAGAAATTATAAACGCGAAAGTCATCATAACCTGGAATTGAAGTCCATAATTCCTGTTTATAGTCCATGCTACGAGCCTGGCAATTACTCACTGCACTTCACATTCCAGAAGGTAGAGTGAGGGAGGGATGATTTCATTATTAGAATTATCTAAATAAAGAAACAAATGTTAAATCGGCAAGTACCGTTGCTAGGCCTACACGAATTGTATCTTACGCTCGAGTCTGGTTAAAATAACATACAATAAGGTGCAAGTTCTTGGTATGAAAAATCTAACGCAGGTCCTAAAGTATTTACGAAACACGTAGAAAACAAGCGATAATAACGAAAATATTTATAGCTGGCTGTTTTAATAATGCATGAACAACAGTGATAGAACTTATAAGAAATTGAAGTGTAATTTGAATCTTGAGGTAAATCGTACCACCAGAGTTAACTGTTTATATCTTGCTGCTGCAACGTTTCTATAAGGGCGATGTAAACAATGATTGTTGTCTGTGAATCGGTAAGAGTAAGAAACGGTTCTATGGCTTAATTTTTAAGTTTCTATCCCGACATTCGTCTTGGAGAAGTGCTGCTGTTGATGGAAATCGGATAAACGACCGGTTCTTGAACAACGCATCTCTCCTCACGAGGACGGCCGCGTTTTCTATAGGAATGCGTGGTTATATTTCTTTGAATAAGAGAAAGATGAACGATTCTGCGGAAGCCAACTTATGAATCAGGAAAACCAACAGCTCAGAGGTGGCATCTCTTGCGCAACAGCAGATGGTATTAACACCCACGCAGTGTATTCCACTCATATTCCCGTGCCGGCTCTGTTTGCGTCATGTCATCATGCTCCATGATTCGGTGCCCATAATATTATGGAAACTGTAACATTTTTATCCCAAGCTATGGAGATCTCTGGAAAGAATTTTCTTCAGTGTTGGCCAGCCTCAACTGTTCATTTTCTCCAATTAAGTCTATTGGAAGTCCTGGAGGAGACAGGAATGAAGCCACGGTGAGCTCATTTATTCTTGCTTATTGTGAAAGAGAAATGATTTGCGGTTATGTAATTTGATAGTTACAGGTGTAGTACAAATAGTTTTGCAACAAATCTCTTGTCTACATGAAGGAGGGTCAAAATTTTAAATGTTCATCGAATATTATATTATTAGGGTAATCATATAAAGAAGGATGGGATGGAATGACATGCAACATGAGTGGGAGATACGAGAAATATGTACAAAATTTTGGTTTTGAAATTTGAAATGAATAGGAAACTCGGGAGACTTAGGCGCATATGGAAGGATAAAATTAAATTGTTCTTTAATAAATAAGACGTACCAATGTGAACTTGATTCCTCTGGCTCAGGATACGAACCATTGACGAGCTCTTGTGAAAACGGTAGTGAACCTTTGGGTTTCAGGAAAGGTGGAGAATTTGACTAGCTGAATGGCATTAGCTTGTCTAGAATTATTATTTGGTCATGGTTATTAAGATCATTTGAAATGGTTATTTGGGACAACACGGTATGCAAAATTGCAAAGCATGTATTTCGAAAGTGGTCCTATTTATACGCCAAATTAGAGTAGACTTTTCTAGGCTTGATTATTCTGCAGTGTATAGTCTGGTTCTGAAGCA